GCCACATAGAAATTCAAAATTTATTATAACATTATTCAAAAATAATGGTAAAGTTTGCAATTATCAGTAAACAGCATAGAAGGGTTAGTTTTAATGCCACCAACTGAAATAAATAATTAATGGGTGTTTTGAACAAAAAAAAAACAAAATTCATCTGGGCATGGTAGCACATACCTTTAATCCCAGCACTCAGTAAGCAGAAAATGTGCAATGTGGATATCTGAGTTTGAGACCAACCTGGTCTACAGAGCATAGTTCTAGGACAATCAGCACTACACAGAGAAAGCCTGTTAAAAATTAACTCCCAAATCAAAAACAAAAAAAAAAAACAAAGAACATACATACACACACACACACACACACACACACACACACAGGCACAACCCAAAGAATATTATTAAAACCAATTAAAATTATCTGGTAAATACATAGGAAAACCAATGTAAATTAAACACTCACTAAATTGTTGTAATAACAATAACTAACTAGAAAATAAACTTGAACTAAAAAGTTATTTATTTAGTGATAATTTGGAACTTTGAGGAGCTGTGTAGCTAAAAGTTTGTACGTCATATTTGGAAACACTGTTAAACTGGCTCCATTAAGATGTACTTGTGGCTGGGCATTGGTGGTGCATGCCTTTAATCCCAGCACTGGGGAGACAGAGGCAGGATGATCTCTGTAAGTTCAAGGCCAGCCTGGTCTACAGAACTAGTTCCAGGACAGCCTCCAAAGCAATACAGAGAAACCCTGTCTTGAAAAACAAACCAAAACAAAAACAACAACAATAAAAACAAAGATGTAATTGTGAGGAAATCTACCATCCTGACTTGACACAGCTAGAGTTACCGGAAAAAAAAAGGAACCTCAGTTGAGAAAATCCGTCCATAAGATGAGGCTATAAGGTATTTTCTTAATTAGTGGTCAGTGGGACCAAGGCCAGTCCATTTTGAGTGGTGCCTGGTGGTTCTATCTGGACTGGTGGTACTGGGTTCTATTAAAGAGCAGGCTGAGAAGTCAGTAAGTAGCACCCCTCCATCACCTCTTCATCAGCTCCTGCCTCCAGGGTTCTGTCCCGTTTGATTTCCTGCCCTGACTTCCTTGGATAATGAATAGAGATACAGAAGTGTAACTAGAACAAACCCTTTCTTCCCCAACTTGCTTTTGGTCATGGTGTTTTATCACAGCAATCGTAACCCTAAGACAACTAACAGAACTAGAAATAAAGAGCAAATGCACAATAATACAGATAGTGATTGTGGTGGTGAGAGTAAGAAATATCTATCATAGTCTCTGGCATTTGGACACTTGGTCCCCAGTTTATGAAACTGTTTGGAGGTTGGTGACCCTTTGGGAGAAGGGGCCGCCTGGAGAAAGTCCACAACAGGGATGGATGGAAGCAGGGGATGGAAGGGGGATTTGACTGTTTATTGTCTGACCCCACTTTCTGTTTGCTCTCCTTGCTTTGTGCTTTAAGTTCAGACTGTGAGCTGCCAGCTCCCTGTTCTGGCCACCAAGCCTGATGCTTGCAGCCATGAGTCTCTGCTCTAATGGAATCTTGTAAGCAGAAATAAACTCCCATCTCCCACTTAACTAGCAGGATTCCTCCAATCCTGACACCTTCTGCTACCCTCTGATTAGGCACACACAAATATACTTACACACACTTGCACACTTACTTATACACACACACACACACAAGCAAAATGAATCTTTTAAAGTTTAGAATTATTGAGAAGAGGTGAATCATGCAATAATGGGAAAAGTTCAGTTTATAATATGTGAACCCACTCGTGGTAACTTGCAAATCAAGAGACAGGTAGATTCAGAGCAATGTACAAATGTAGTCTATTTATCATTGCATTCTATTACTTTTTTTTAGAGAATAATTGCCATTATTTTTAATTTTACTTGTATGCTATCTCTTTCCTCCAAATAATATCATACTCAACCATCCAGGGGACTTAGATATTTTATTTCACATAGTATCATCAATCTTATTATAGATTCTAGTATATTGACTTTATGAAGATTACTGTAGAAAAAAGAAACAACCCAAATTCTCCCAATATTCTTTAAATGCAACATAGCAACATCCTTTCCATTACCCACAAATAAAAGTAAATAGCAAAAACTGGACCAAGTGACACAATCTGATCATGAATTTTTCATGCTTGTAATTAACAATTTTACATATTATTTGTAATATTTTAATATGTATCTCAGAATACATACATGCAATATAATTCAATATAATCCACACTAGGAATTTTTTCAACTTAATTTCTAAATACAATGTTATTTTTTATTCTTTACAATATTTCCTTTATGGAAAAATAAGGAACACCAATAAAAATCTCATAATGGCTCACTTCTTAGCTGGCAGTGGTGGCACACACCTTTAATCATAGCACTGAGGACTCAGACGCCATTGAATCTCTGAGTTAGAGGCCAGCCTCATCTACAGAGTGAGTTCAGGACACACAGAGCTACACAGAAAAATTGTGTTTCAAAAAAGCCCAAAAAGAATAAATGATAAACTAGTGAATTGCACATTGTCAGGCAGTGGCTTGTTTTTTATTGGCAGCAGTCTAAATTCTAAATTACATTAGGTAGAACAAACACAGAAACACAAGGCCACAGGGATGTGTTTTCTGAGTTCTAACACCCTCTCATGATATGTTAATGCATTTCTCAGCACAGGTAATACTATCTTTACTAGGGCAGGCTCTGCCAGCTGTGAAGAGAAACAGAATGAATACAAATTTTGCTCCTGTTAAATATTTCTCTGCTATATCAAAAGCCCCTCAGGGGCTGATTAAATTCATTAAGAGCTAACAGAAATTCTAACCATTCTTTTCTTTTTGGCCAAGATGCTAGTAACAGACAAGCCAACAGTGGAACAGTCAAACTGCCAAGAATCTAATGCTGTAGCCTAATATTTACAACCAAATAATACTAATTATAAAAGTATCAATTACAGAGGACCTGGCACCACAGCAAGTATTTGGCATTCATGATTCCTAAACCTACAAAATCCCTAATGTTATTCTTATTTATAGATTTTGGGAAACTGAGGCTAGAAGCAGCAATCGGTGAAGCATTTGAATCATCAATGTCTCTGACTTCATCACTCATAATGAAACTTCATCACCTTTATATGGAACCACAGATCCTGACAATAAGCAATTGGATTTGTTCTTTATCCTTGGAGGACAGGCCGGTCAGAACATTCAGGAAGCTAGTTGCATTGATTTGAAAAAAATAGTCTGCTGACTTTATTATATATCTCCTGCATCATTATAGTTGAAGATAGAATTTGTCTACTCAAAATACACATTTCCACATTGCCTTACTGATATAATATTATACCATAAAACTCACTATTCAGAGACAACCAGGTAACTTTAAGTGTGCCTACAAGGTTGTGTAATCATTAACACTATCTAATTCAGAATATTTTCATCAGTACCAAACAAAAACCTTGTCATAATGAAATGCCAGGTCTTTCATGTTCTCCTTGTTTCTAGAGACCACTTAATAATGGTGTTTATCATTCTTACTTCTCCATACATTTAATATTAACTATCTTTAGCATAAGGCTTTTTATTTATAGTTTATTCAAGGTACACCTATACTGTAACATAGTTACAGTTCATTTCATGTTGCATTTTAATTGCCTAAAGATGAACTAATCTGTATGATCCAGAGGAATAATACAAATGTCCTCTATTTCCCTAGATATATGCTAACCTATATTTGCAATATTGATGAAGCAAGCCTACATTACAAAAGCCTATATAATATTGTCATCTCATATTTTTTAAGATGGGAAAACTGTTATCTAATCAAATATTGAAGCAAGAATTCAAGTTCAGCTCTGTGAACAGAAGACTAAAAGAAGTTGGTGCTTAGGTAATGGACATAGGATGACAACAATTAAATGGTCCATTCAACCAGTGCACCAAAGATCTTTGTTTCAACAGAGACACTGAGAAACTGTGCTAAGAATCCCTACTCCATCTATCTGTGTGCCTGTGCATAATGAGGATGCTTAACATATGTGCTAGGTAACGATGTGTATAGAGCAAAATATAAAACGAGATGATAGGAAATCAGATGCAAGGAGCAGTATTGACTACGACTCAGTCTTGCCCTCTGGGATTGCATGCCAAATACAAAGCCATTCTTATTTCTTGTAAGATAAGTTTGGAAATATCCTTTAATATAAAATTTTTTTCAAATGTTGGCTAAACAATTCAACGTTTTCTTTTTGAAATTAAAAATTTTAGACACATAATTTTGCATCAGGAAATTGAACTGGGATGTGCTATAGTGAAGCAATTCTGCAATCGCCAATTTTCCAGAGGCTAGGAAAAAAGAAAGTCTCCTTAGGGTGTTTGTAGTCAGCATGATAGGACAGATACTTCAGTTTTGATCTGTAATATGTGGAACTAGAGGGGTTTGGTTCCTCCTTCCTCCACCTTCAGTAACTGAAAATGTTTTGCTTTTTTAGGTATGCTTTTCCTCAAAGAAGAAATGCAAGCACTGTTAACATTGAGTTACATTGTTTATGTTTTATCATGTAAAATACATGCTTCCTGCATACATGTTTGTAGGACTTAATTATTATTTTATTTCTAAAAAACATCTTGTCTTGTAAAACTATTGGGCAACAATGCAAAACAATTTTACTTCATTCCGAATACATTTTGTGCAATACACCATTCTAGTGTTTTTGTACCACCATAGTAATCTGACAACCAGAAAGTCTACCTCAAGTATCTTCTCCAGAGCAATGGAAACAGTCTCCGTTGCCCCATTCCAGCATTAATTTATGTAACTTCACTAACTTAATTAACTGCAATAGCTATAAAAGCTACTAAAAGAAGCTCATGGCATCACTTAGAAATCACTGTCTCTCTATGTTTCCATAGAAACAAAGAATACGAAGCAAGATGAAGTACAGATAAGAAAATCTTCCCTTGTGGGGAGCTTACCTTTTAGGGCAGCTCTGAGAGCCACATGCTGTGGAGTTACTATGTGCCAATAATCCCTATAATAAAAACAGAATGTACAAGTTAACACACTGTTCAACAAAGACTTGGATGTAGTTCATATTTATTATATTATCCCTTGTAAAATTAAATTAGGAGGAAATGATAATTAGATACAGCTGGCTTGAGCTTCCAGATTTGATCCTCTGCTGTGTCTCTGTAAGCAAATGTTTTGACCTGTCAGTTCAGGAAGTCTTCATGTCAGTTGAGTGGCATTAGACACCGTTAATATTTTGTATTTTGTGCTGCTTGGATTCAATGAAACAAATATTGCATAAGAAGGTGTATCAGACAACTTTAAAAGTAACAAAACTCAACATTAAGCTATGTCTTGTCTGGCGTTTTGTTGGGTTGTTTTAGGTAAATGAGTAAGTAAAATATGGAGATAACAAAAACAACAAGAATCACTCCTCATTTAATTATGGCATGTCTTATCTCAAAATTTCCAAGTTAAACTTTGTGAAAGGAGTCTTGCCACAGATCATTAAATTCCTGAAGTACTCACTATATATCTACTTCCAAAGTACTACACCTGTGTATACATATGTGTGCCATATATTCTAATCTAGTTTCTACCCAAAACACACCACTTCTAAGTAAAGTAATTGTGTTGTTTCATTCATTGTAAATGTTATTATGAAAATGTATAAACATAAAATATTTATAGTACTATTTTCTGTAAAGAGAGAGCATAGGCACTCAAAAATATTTTCAAGTGTATAAGCATTAAGGGGAAAATCTCTGCATTTATTAAGTCCAGTAGAGTTTATCATAGCAAGTCAAAAAACCTACTCTTGTATCTGGCTTGTCCTAGAACCAGATCGACTTCTGATACTTGCAACCAACTGTACAATTGGACAGTATTAACAGAGAAATGATAGCATAGCATAGAAAAGAACATAAATACCTACAGACTAGTCATTCAATCAATAAGTTGTCAACAATTTAACTAGTTAGTTTACAACTCAGCTAATACACCCCAGGGTATCAAGCAATCTTCAGGGAAAGTACTGTAAGTGTGTGTGTGTGTGTGTGTGTGTGTGTGTGTGTGTGTGTGTGTATGTGTCGAACTTATCACAGGTCCTCATTCCAATCTGTGTCCTTCTACAAAATATTATTTACCCCAAATGCATTCTGACATATTTAAGTATATTATAATTAGTAGACATAAAATAATGTATTTTATTGATTAACTATAAATATACCATCACTTCAGTGCATAGCTTCACCTGTTTGGCAAACTAATTCATTTCTGTTCTTAATACTTAACTTCTCTTAATGGTCATAAGATGATAGTCAGAGAATAAGGATTAAACCCTTGTTGCTACTATTTTTGATTTGGGCAGAGTGTAACACTCTTCCTACCCTTTCTCATATATTTCCATTTATAACATTCCACATATGATTATGCCAAATATAACAAAATGGTACTTATGGGATAGGAAAAATTCTCCTATATTCAATATAGTTGAATCACAAGTACATCACAATCTGTTATATTTGAATGTGGTCAGTCACCATATGTATGACTGTCTATAGAAATTCAGTAATTAATTTTAATAGATGTAATATTATCATACTAAGGATAGCCTCTAGTATGGCTCTACATTGTTTTTAGTTTCAGAACCATTTTCAACTATTGAAACCATCAACCAGTAACAGAAGAATTGCTTTTAATCTCAAAATCCCTACACATATTGGCTAAAATTCTTTTAAGAATTACAAAACAAATCACATTTACATAAGTACATATATCTATTTACATATATAGGCACACATATGCATTTGTAGAACAAAATCAAAGTGAGTATTAAATTTATAAAAATAAATAATAACTTAAAATTGAATTGTGTTTATATTAAAATATTTTTCTTTAACTGTTCAGGTTCTTGTAAATTGTTTGCATGATTCAATATTTAGTAGCCATATGATTGTCCACAATTCTTTATTGATAAGACCCTCAGTTTTATCTATGCATGAGAAGTACTAATGCAATACACCCTGAAGGAATTACTTAAGTGTTGTGGATGGAGCACATCAGGTACCCCAATTGCTTTCCATGCAGAACCCCTAGGGTTGAGACCAGAATATTTAAGACTGGAATAGTAGTAGTGCATGTCCCTAATACAGGGCTTTTGGGAGGTGACTATAGTATGAGAAGTTCAAGATCATCTTTAACTAGTAGAGTGAGCTGAAGTCAGTGTGGAAAACACAAGACCCTATTTTAAAGCAAAGCAACAACAAAACAGAATTATTCTAATTCTCAATTCAATCACTAAGTAGTAACAGATTGGTTAGTTATGCAGTTGACACAGTCTAGTAGCTACTAAAAGTGGTGACCACATTGGTAATAATTTATTCACTACATTATGAATAATAAACTTAACCTATGAAATGAAAAGTGAGGACTGAAAGAACACACTTTAAAATATCATAAGAACACTTTGAAGTTTGTAATTTCTTGTCCAGGCCAAGGCAACTCACCTATGTGCTGGGTGGCCTCACATTCAAGAGAATGACTATGAAATTAGCTAGCTGACACTTAGCAAAGAACAGTACCTGGCAGAATGGAACGGGAGCAAGAAAGGAAAGAAATGAGTGTGCACTGGCAGGAAGACTCAGCAGGTAAAGGCGCCTTCTGTTATGCCTGAACACCTGAGTTTGATCCACTGGGATGCACACTGACAAAGGGGAGAACCTCATTCGTCAGGTTGACTTCTAGCTTACATATCTGTTCTGTAACACACACACACACACACACACACACACACACACACACACACACGGGAAGGGAACATGAGATCAGAAGACAAAGATGAATGTAATTGAGAAAACAAAATCTTGCAAAGAAAACTAGAGGAGAGTGAATGACTTGGAACTGATCTCATGAAGACCTGCAGATGTATCACCACCAGGAAAGGACTTCCCACTGAAATGGAACTTTCATTTGAATTGGATAGAGCTTTGGAATCCTCCATAACTAATAGTAATTCCGTACTAAGCTAATTCTCTGTTTTATGGTATTTGAATGGTGACACTGAGGTTTTGGGGTATATAAAGTAGGAGTTTCTTAACATACAAAGCTACTTTTTTGAGAAGACTAGAGAAATAAGTTCCTAGATAACACTTGAGAGGAAATAACTCATTTACTTAACCTGGCCCCCTGAGGAATGAGGCTTTGAAATTAGCATGTGAGCAATGTGAAAAGCAGCCATATCTCCTGATTTGTAAAATAAAGCTTTCAAATACCACAGATGGAGAAAACAAAATATTCCATGACAAAGCCAGATTTAAACAATAAGTATACATGAATCCAGCTCTACAGAAAGTGCTGGAAGGAATACCTAGACCCAATGAAGATAACTACACTCACAAAGACATAGGCAATAGATAATCCCACTTTACCAAACACCAAAAGCAAAAGGGAGGACAACTTACACACAATAACTCCACTACCAATAAATCAAGAACAAACAAGAATCATAAATCAATGGTCCTTAATATCCCTCAATATCAACAGTCTCAACTTGCCTATCAAAAGACACAGCCTAGCAGAATGGATACGAAGACAGAACCCATCCTTCTGCTGTATACAAGAAACACATCTCAACATCAAAGACAGAAGTTACCTCAGAATAAAGGGTTGGGAAAAGATTTTCCAATCAAACAAACCCAAGAAAAAAGCAGGGGTAACAATCCTAATATCTAACAAATTAGACTTCAAATTAAAATCAATCAAAAGTGATGAAGAAGGACATTTCATATTCATCAAAGGAAAAGTCCATCAAGATAAAATTTGAACATCTATGCCCCAAATACAAAGGCTCCCACATTCGTGAAAGAAACATTACTACAGCTCAAATCGCACATAAAATCTCACACACTAGTAGTAGGAGACTTCAACACTCCGCTCTCACCACCAGACAGGACCTCCAGACAGAAACTAAACAAAGAAACAGAAAAACTAATAGAAGTTATGACCTAACTGGTCATAAACATCTATAGAACATTCCACCCAAACACAAAGAGATATACCTTCTTCTTGGTGCCACATGGAATCTTCTCTAAAATTGACCACATAATCAGAAATATAGCAAACCTCCACAGATACAAAAAATTAGGATAACCCCCTGTATTTTATCAGACGACCATGCATTAAAATTAGAATTCAACAATAACACAAATCTCAGAAACCCTACAAACTCATGGAAATTGAACAACGCACAATTGTACCATCCCTGTGTAAAGAATAAATAAAAAAAAGAAATTAAAGACTTCCTGGAATTCAATGAGAATGAAGACGCAACACACCCAAACTTATGGGACATTCTGAAAGCAGTGCTGAGAGGAAAGTTCATAGCACTATATACCCACATGAAGAAACTGGAGAACAGTCACACTAGAGAATTAATAGCACAGCTGAATGCTCTAGAACAAAAAGAAGGAAACTCAACCAGGAGGAACAGACGCCAGGACATAATCAAATTGAGGGCTAAAATCAATCAAGTAGAAACCAGGAAAACATTGCAAAGAATCGATGAAACAAAGAGTTTGTTCTTTGAGAAAATCAATAAAATAGACAAACATTTGTCCAAACTAACCAAAAGACAGAGAGGGAGAATGATAATTAACAAAATAAGAAATGAAAAGGGGGACATAACAACGGACACTGAGGAAATCCAGAGAATCATCCGGGCATACTTTGTAAATCTATAATCCACAAAATTTGAAATTTAAAGGAAATGGACAATTTCCTGGATAGATATCACTTGCCAAAACTAAATCAAAACAGATAAACAATTTAAACAGACCTATAACCCTTAATGAAATAGAAGCAGTCATCAAAAGTTTCCCAACCAAAAAACGCCCAGGCCCAGATGGCTTCAGTGCAGAATTCTAACAGACATTCAAACAAGAGCTAATTCCAATACTCCTTAAAGTATTCCACAGAATAAAAGCAGGAGGCTCACTGCCAAACTCTTTTTACAAGGCTACAATT